AACGTGTGTCAAACTAATGTTAAGGAATTCATGACAATCTTTTGACAAGGTATCTGCTGTGAAATAAGTGATCACTAGTCCTGGCTAAAATGTAGCAGTATGACGGTACCCCACAAGTCTGCTTTACTTAAGACTAATCAATTTAACAACAAAGACAGGACATGTATCTCGCAGCCTGCAGTAAATTGTTTTGTAGGTTAAACTAGCAATATCAACTTAATACAAAACAGAGGCAGCAGCTACGATTTTTAAGGCATTTTGTTAACACGTTTAGGACTTTTAACAACTAAGATTAATCACGACTTTACATTGGTGGTGGTCCTATAGTAATCCAATTTTTTTTCAAACATTAATATTCCAATAACTAATTTCTTGCACAAATCCACTCATTTCGGCTTCGATTAAATGAATATATCTGGTATTCCAAAAACTTACTAACCTGCAGTGGCTCAATGGCATAAAATGTATAGAGAAAATCAGTAATTCTCCAACTGGCGAGAATACCTTCGAGTTCTAGACGCGATTTTGTGTCGGTAACCAAGTGAAGGTGAATTGGTTCGGCCGCAGGATCCGATGATTTCCGAGTGAAAAAGTGATTTATTATAAGGCTCTTCAAAAACGGCACGAACATCTGATTGCCATTGTAGCCGGATATCACTTGGAAGACGTGAATAGTTCCAGGTTCACTCTCGTTCAGTTTGTCGTCAATCATGTTCTAAAAGATACTCGAATTTTAACTAAAAATTTCAGCACTAAATTTTATAATTCTACTTGAGAACTGTCTATAATTCACACAATTCTGGTAAAATTTTCACATACGCTTGTTAAAATTGCACTAGACTGTGCACGGAGTTGTTTGCGAATTCGTAAGTTCAGGACTATTTCCCTATCATTTGAGCTAAAAACACTAGTCAGTCCAAAAAACATGAATATGGCTCGCTTTATTTGAAAAACTCTCTATGTAATGGGCAAAAATAATGGGCTGCGGCCGTTAAAAAGTGCTATTATTTAATATCTTTAAATCCACACACTTGGTCGTCATTCACCATAAAGTTAAATAGGCTTTCCAAAGAGGCTAGTTTGCATATTCCCAATGTACACAGCGATAGATTCTAAGCGTAATTATAGTTTACGGTAAATAAATCAAAGTGTAACGGTCTTTCGTTGCTGTTTACATTTTTCCAGGTAACTAAAGGCCCTTAAATGCAATTCATTGGAATCGGTATGTGTTTGCATTTTGAAAGCTACCCAAAATCCGCCTTTGCGTGTGATGGTCATGAATAGACTCGCCACAAAAGTTAGGTAGCATTTAGAGAAGAGGAAGTTTCTGCAAAATTTTTCCTGTTACTTCAGAAATAGCATCGACTTTTTATTGTGGGATTTGGCCATTTCTTAAGACATCATGACTCATTACACCGAGATTGCGATAGTTTAGTTACCCGGCTATTCACACAAAAAAACAACTCGCCACGCAGTGTTAATCATTCTAATCCTATTCGACCAAAATCATCCAGGCATATTTAATTGGGCCCACCCCAATGTGTTCGCGAATATGGGCATTGAACTATGACAGTACAGGCTCCCTGTACGTGTCCCATCTGGTCCTGTTGTAAGACCGCAGAGGGCTGAGTTAGACAGGAGATGTGTGCATTGGTCGACTGGGCGTGTGCTTTGGTCATGGGCAAGAACAGTTCTTGAATGGAATATGTTGACACCACATACGTTCACAACTACATGAATACAGCATACCAGCATTCATAATTGTTCCCACAGCGTCTGAATAACTTTTCAATAATTTAGAGTTGTTTTTTGTCATAAATTAGGGGTGATCATCTCGGTTAAACCATTATCCTTGGTTTTCAAAGAGGAATGTCTGTTTTGGGGCCCCACCGCTGACACAGAATACAGCATTGTTGACCGTATCTATTTCACTGACAACGTTAAAAACAACCATCCAATTTTGCCGTTGCTCTCAAATTAAACGTAACATCTTTGATACTTAGAAAGAACTAGATAAATTTCAAGCAAGCGCTTTTATTTTTCATCATTACTGATTTAGCCGTCTGTCGTCAATTGTTCATGTTTGTTACTGGTGGAATCCAGCAGCAATCACTTCGAGTTCTGCCCATAAAATATCGCGATCGTTTGTTACTATGGTATTGTTGAATTTTAATCGCTAAACGCCATCTTTGAAATCAAAATCATATCATTATCCTAAGTAATGTTTTTGAAAAAAAACCAGTCGCCTTGAAATGGTAAAAACTAAAGATCTCAAAACCACCGCAAATTCAAATGGGATTTTGGTTTATTTTCTACCAAGTGTTTGTGACATGCATAAATGGATTTGGTTTATCCTTCAACCTTTGTCTTTGCTATAGAATGTATTCGAAGCGAAACACGTTACACACATCATGAGCAGATAATGGTTCACAGGTGAAGGCGAACGTCTTAGCGAGCATCCACCTCAGTTTACGCGCATTAAAGTGCCAAATTTTTGATGAAATGACCTTAACTTATGTTAAGTCACACGCTTTCAGCTCTCGTGCAAAGCTTAAAGCCAGGAGATGTAATTGATAGATTTTGAATGTTTCCATAATTTCCACGACGGAAATCAAACGCATCACAACTATTGTCCTTTGTAATTTGCTATGATTACATTTCATTACATCAATAGTAGCTGTCATGTCAAATAATACCGATCTTTGAATCAGATCACAATTACTACTATCGCAGTTTTAGGTCAATAGAATTATTTGGTAGTGGCATCGAATAAGCAAATTTGAAATGTCAATTTTTAAGCTTGCAAATTAACAGACAACATTCGCACAATGCGTACAAGATAAATTTGGTATCCGAATCAGAATTACCATCTTGTGAGTAAATTAGTAAAAAAAACTACACTAAATGAAGAAGTGAGAGAGTGTGCATGGCGTAAAGTTTCTCAACTGAAAAGAAAGCGGTCATTGTTGCAAACCATGTGATTTCTCACAATCTACGGTTTTTACCAAATGCAAATCTTCTGTTAGCTAATTTGTACTTGTGAATACACATGACAGATTCAAACCTCGTGACATGCTTTCGGGACCCTAACTCACGAAATCGCATTCAGCAAAGACTAAGCCTCGGGAAATTTTAAAACAGTACCTTTAGAAGGTGAATGCCACGGAAAGTTAGAAGAAAATGTGTGGTAGTCATGGTGTGAAATTAATGTCTCAAATGTTTGAAACAATTTCCTTCGCACGTTGCATCGTTTGCTTTAAATTTAATATATCCTCCAACTTGTTAATAATTTACCAGCAATCCATTCAGGCAACATGAACTTGAGAGTCGTCTTTTTAAAACATGGAAAATGCATGGAAATGTAGCCGCACAAACTAACTGGGCATTTGATAACTCAGACATTTGACCAAAAAATGGATCGCTTAAACTTAATTATTGGGTGATCATTTCCCTTAACATACCCATAAATATAAGGGCTTAAATTTAAGCTTCCGATAACCGTCTAAAAAACATCTGAAAAATAGAAATAAATGCTAGTTGTTTGAATTAGCCAACTATTCTTTTCGTGCCATTGTAGCAAGATATCATTTTTACTTGTTTTAGGAGTGAAGATAAATCCCATAACAATATTGAAAGGGAGAGGCTTTCGTTTGATCAAATCACTTTAACTTATAAGTGGACTTCAAAATTATTAATGCGATTTTTTGACATTTTCAGATGCTGTTGGCGTCATTGTAACTCTAAGGACGAAAGTTAAACGAAGTCGCTTGTATTCTCTTAACTGAATTGCTGCAATACCTGTTCGAGATCGTTTGATAGAGTTAAAAGTGCAAGTCATCCTAGTTGGCAAATTCTCAAATCTGATGACAAGAAAAGCAAGTTCCGAATCTCTTAGTTACGTATCCATTCGCTCAATGTTCTCGACGATCCACTCTGTTCTTGAAAAATACATTTCCGTAGATGAGGTAATGTCCAGAGTTTCCGATGTGACTCACCTCAACCATCGTTTTTGCCCAAACGTCCTCACAGTCTACCTAACTAGGTGCGTACCCCATAACTTCATTTTAAATTCAATTGTTTGATAAAGTTCATTGACGGCCAGTTTAGTGAACCAGCACTATTCAGATCTCGGCATGGCTTTGTGGCATTGTGTCAATCACAGAGATAATGAGATTAACATGCCAAAGCTGTGTTTTAAGGCAAACATATTACACATAAATCCCCACACTTAACCAGCGCATAGGAAATTCTCCTTTCTTGCGATTCCCATAAGCGTCTGTCACTTCGGCTTTGGTCATAGCAGTGTAAGTTGCAGATTAAAACACACACAATCAACTAATGCTTTCAATCACTTTACAGGAACTAGGTTAGCAGCAATTTGTCACTTTAAATTGTGCTGACTTGCAGGAATATTTTCTTCAACTCAAATTAATCATAAGAGCAAACATTCTGTAGAAATAGAATAATCATTCACCAGGATATGAGGCGGGGCCTTGCCATCAAGTTGGGTTCTTCTTGGGTGCATGAAAAGCACAAGGAGAAGCACGCACAAGTACAGGGTCGCCGTTAACCGAATATTATTTCTCCAACAAATGGAAACCTTCTGCCTATAAACAATTTAAACACAAAACATTCCAGGTATTTGTGTGCATCATCGGTCCTCTTGTCAAATTCCAAGTAAATTCCATACATACTCCGATGGTTGGGATACTACTCATATTTCGCTGTTCTCACCTCAAGATTTCAATCTAATGGCAATGTAGTTAACGACAAATGTTACAGCAACCAATGCAACAGTTTGCTTCAATTGCGTATCATTGCGTCATGTATTCCACAGGTCAAGGATATACTTGGGTCTCATCAAGGTCGAAGGCATTAAAACTAGGGCTTTGTAATTAATCGAGACGTAAGTACCCTTAAAGTAAGGAATTAACTTTAGCATGGGGGATTTAAAAATACCAAATATCAAACTAAATCAGCAGTTTAATAGTTAAATCAGTCGCTTTATCCATATTTAATCATCCTAAATGGGCATAAAGACTTCTTTTTTAGTTAATGAATACCAAAAAATTGACTTAGAAAATGTAATTAAAATAGTTTCTTTCTTAGATTAGATTAGATCTCTTAGCTTTACTTGAACTCCTTTCATGCCATCAGACTATGGTTCTAAACTGTTATCGGCGTATACAAGGCAACATTCTGAGTATGGATGCAAATGGCTATACGGAAGAATGATAAATAAGATTTTGAGAGTCACGCATCTGGAAATGAAAATGGAAGCCTCTAGGCGCATTTACAAGCTTTACAATTAATCTATAAGTATGACAGTTCGCTAGTATTATTCACTCTTTTATTCTTCCACGCTGTCATTAAAACGGTTTAAATATGCATGTATATATGGCGTATAAAGCAGTCACACGCCCTATTCAAACACTTACCCTAGGCACTGGGTGAACATCTCGCACGATCCCAGACGCACAATTATGCTAAACGCTGACTTGATCTGGTTTATATCTGTTACTTGTGTGTGCATTGCATAACTCATGCTGGTTTTGAGATGCACTCTTTAAAAATAAAATTTCTACCCGCTGACTCACTTGTCTCCAAATGATGAAATAGTAGATTACTTGAGTTTTCGTGTCTTTATTGCAGTTTTAGCCGTGTCAGACGCAAACGATAACATTTATTCCAAATTGAGTGAAGCTACATCAATCAAAAGTCTAATTGTTTTGAGAAGTGTTATCACTAGAATTCTAGGCACATAAGCACTCAGATGGCCTTGGTTAAGAACCACCGCATTTGCGTTTCACTGGTCCCATAAGCCCGAGGATACCTGCACAGCTAATTGATTCTCGTTTCAACTCCAGACAAACTTTGTCTACTTCATTACCTTGCTTCCTTCTCCATGTAGACATTTGACGGCGTTCCTTTCCAATTAACCGAGGTAGTGATAACAGACTATGCCGATACGAAATCTAGGATTGCTGTTGTCGCTAGTTTGAAACTAGACAACAGGTAAAGCCTAGTCCGATACGAATTACCTGTAGAATTTTATTTCACAAAATGGTGTAATTCTCTACTTGGTCATCAGATATTAGTACGTTTAATTTACCCTTAAATCTATCTTTAGGTAAAAAAAATTGAAAAGTAGAACAGACCTCGAGTACGCGACTAGGGTCAGTTGGACCATTAAATTGGGCATTTGGATGTGAACTTCAGTGCCGTGTAAAAAACAATTGCACATATGTTGTGAGCACAAAAGACAATTTGACAATAGGTAGATTTAAACTAGGAAGTACAGCCACTAACTTGTGGATTAGGAGGCCGCTTTAACAAGGAATTGGAAATCGTAACTTGATAATGTTAAGGTCGTAATCAAAACTACCGCATTACACTGGAAAAAGCCAGGATCAGCACACTGCGGCGTCTCCATACTTACGTTAAATGTCCGACACGAATCCAGGTGCTTGAAAACAGGTGAAAGCAGCGTTCGCTGCCACTCCAAACCATTGACACCGTGAAACATAATGAACATGTTAGGGATGACATTCCAAATCCGCATTTTTGCTTCGTTGAATTGCACTGCACTAGTTTTCGGTTGTTTTACAAGCAGAAGTCAAGAAAAATGGTAGAACGAAATCTAACCAGACATATAAAGCACTTGCGTGTGTTGACTTAATAACATTAGGGCAGAACATGTGCAAACAGAGGTACAAGCTGTTATCTCCATCCATCAGCAATTTATATACCTCGCAATCGCAAATTCAATCAACAGCCTCGACTGCGCCGTCCCAATTTGGTATATGCGTAGTTACTTGATGGTTAGTCGATAACAATAATTTATTTGAGGATTATACTTAGGCAAGCACGCGTAGTTGCCGTTTTACGCAAAAATTTGTAATACGTTTTGGCAAATAACGTATTAAATGAACCAATAAGGCGGATGAAGGGGAAGAAAGGCTGTCAGCCATTTTTATTTCAACTAATTTTACAAATTTACACTAGGAAAAGGTTATGACCGCCAGGCGCGAAGGCAAAGTGGAAGACGCAAAAAGCACCCAGGATCCAACCCAAAATGGGACCTTCTACAAGGTTATTGGGTGACCGCGGAGATGAATATACGATTTACAACCAAATAAAATGCAACACATCTTCATGAAAAGTGGACTTTGCCAGTCACGAAAGTGCTTTCCACAACTTCTTACTCTCTCCCAATGTTAGACGAATTTTTGAACGTAGTTCGTTGATTACTATGTTCTTGCCATTTAGACTCTTTTGCAGAGAACGAAACAGGTTAGAGGATGAAGAGAAAAGGTCGGGAGAAAGGGCGGGGTGCTGCTGGCGGATTTCTCAGTTCAACTTATCCAGTTTACCTGGTGTTTGCTGCGTTGTCGAAGAAGACAATGATGCCTCTCAAGCTGACCAACTTAGCAGATTTCAGCAGACTAAAACTATTTGCGCATAATACTCCTCCGAAGCTGTTGACTGAATACGGAAAAGAATCTCGTACACAAAGTTATTTCCAATACCACTAGACACAACGTTTACTTGATGCGATTCAGGATACACAAGTAGGTTTCCATTTCAAGTTATGAAACTATCCGTAAAAAAGTTCATTATATCTAAGGATGAGGAGAGAAATGACTGTGGAAACACGGTCCACTTAAATCCATTCTTTCCAAACTTGCGGAACACATAGATTGAACTAGGCGTTTTAAAAATTCACTCTCTCAGTAAGTCCATTTAGTGGTACTCCGTGGATTATCGTTTACTAAATCACGAGCCACTTTAGCTATCGATGGAGATTGAACACCAACCTTGGCAACCACCCAATATCCGGGTCCCGAGGCGTAATTTTGCTTCTTCCGTTTGCTTTAAAGCAAACACTTGAATAAGTGCCTCAGGCTAACTTGCAATGACAACGGACTACATTTAACACTGAGTGTAACGGTTGATTATCCCCTTGTTGACGGTGATGATTGGGTCAATGCGAATTTAACAAATGTGCATTTAAAATTAGACACGCATGGAACACCGCAACCCACGAATTAGTTACCAATTTGAAAGATCGTTGCCTTGAAGCTCCTGGCAACTAAAAACCGAAGTTTCACTTTCCAACTTGATGGGTTTAAAATACGGGGAAGGGAGGAGCGACGTTATAACATGGGGAACAGCTTCTAACCGGCCGGAAACGGAAATTAATGAGTCAGTGGCGCGGGCTACATTTTTTATGCGTTTAGGTTACTGCTGATGGCACTACTGGGCAATAAAAAACCGAGTAGCTGATTTGTTGCATGTGCATTACGCTATGACGGGAAAAACAGGCTTGAACGAATCCAGGACTCAAGTAATTAGAACAAACTATGGCAATGTCAAAAAACTGGCAATTCTTGAAGAATACGAGCAAGCTTTTGTTTTAATCAATAGGTGCGTATTCAAACATCAAGTTTAGGCCGGCAATAATACATTTTACTAAACTTGAACGTGTTATGAATGTAATACGCACCTCGAAACATTGGCAAAATAAACAAGCCCGTGATGAAGTCTCAAATAAGAAGACTTGGTGAAATTCACACACCCGAAACCGTTGAAGTAATCATCTAGCATTAATACAGCACTGGCTTAAATGGATTACCCAGCGTTGGATAGGCATCCTCTACTCCTCAAGTAAATACAATTGCAGTAAAATTTGTCGCCGATTTTCGCATGCCTGTTGTCGTAAATTAGAAGTCGGCTGACAATGTCAGCAGTTTCTGGTGAAAGTGGAGAATCGTACCTGTCCCTCTGTTTAACCTGACATAGAAACAAGTACTGGGGCAGTCCCTAATTGCCACTAGGACATAATGTCTGAGGAAATTGCGTTCTTCAACATAAGTTGACTCTAATAATAGAAGCACACGTAGTCAAAATACCACAATCTATTTTATTTTATGCATAATTTCTTTGTCTTCAAATATTACTCAACGCGCTTAATCCCAAACTGAATAACAGCTAACGTTCACGTTGTAAAATTCGAAGTTCCGCACTTTCAATCGCACTGATACAAGTATTGGCTTGAGGATAATCGCACCAACCAAGGAATAGCGAAATTCGTAGAATTACATTTAATGGGTAAATGGCTCACGCGATAATCAAGACATACTGCACATTCTACGCTCTAAGAAAATGCTAGGATGGAAAGGCACCATCGCGAACTAGCATTTATGACGCATAAGTTAAAGTCCATCTAAGTCAACTTTCAGCTGGCACTCTCGGAGCTTGCAATAAAGCAAATCCGTTTCGTGTTTAATCAAGACTGAGGTGAGGATGCGCCCCAGATACAGCCTGCACAGACAGTCTTAGGGAAGACAACTACAATGGATGAATTGATCAGATCTTTATTGTAAAAAAAAACTGCAGCTTTACACACTTTCAACGGTTTCCCGTTCTCGATTGGCAAGTCGATCGTGATGGGACTGCTTTTTCACTGGAAAAATCAAAAAGAGAAATATCAAAAACGTCATGACTCAAAAATAGAAGATAGCCAGGAAACTCACTTTTTGCCTTCTGAACTATCAGATGGGATTTTTTGTGTCGCTTTTTGGCAGCCTCTTTCGACGATTTTCTTCGCGTGCTGCCAGTTTTGATAGGATAAGAGTGTGTATTTGAATCCTCGCCTTCATCGCTGTTACGCGATTGGTGTGCCGAATTGGCATCATCAAGTGCGGGCTTGGCGTTTGCTTCACCAGCGCCCAAGCTGGCAGCTCCTTCGAGGGGGATCTGGCCAGCCCTCCGCATACCCTCGAGGCAGGCCTCACGGTTGGAGGCGCGAGCGCACTCATTCGCGATTCGCCGCTGCTCTTGCAGTTGCTTTCGAGCCGCCTTCGCAGCTGCCTTGGCGTTTCGAAGGGCCTCTTGTTGGGACACTTCTGTTGGTGACAGCTTGCGCCAGCTGTGATACAGCACATTGCCTGAGTTTACACCATCCTCAATCTGAAATAAGAGAATATAAACCCACTAAACGCACAGCAGTCTCATTACGGATTGTAGGGAATTTATAACGATAGACTATTTAAACTTTGATTTAACCGAAACTGCAATCCGGTAAGTAATAGCTATGTGATAACTCCGGCAAATGCGAATGGAATCTACCTTTATGAGCTTCAGAGTAAGTCGCGGTCCGATTTCCGTGAGGCGAATGGTAGCCTTTCTGCAGCCCGTTAAATGAGTGAAACCGTGTGCTGCCTTGGCTTCGGCAAGGGCTTCTTTTGACTTCTTGGACGTCTTGGGAAGGCTTTCGCCATTGTCATTTTCATTAGCCGATCCAACAGGTAAGTCGACCTCTGCCATATCATCCAAATCCGACATGCCGGAATCTGTCAGCAAACTGGCCCTATGTTATAAAACAACATCAAAACCAAACCATCGTCGGTGGATTTTTCTGAACAGTCCGATGATGTAGGTGTACATATCGCACTCAACAAAGTGGATCACCGATTCCCAGTAAACCATGGTGATCATTGCTGAATTTAACAAACTGGTTTAACTAGTCTGGATTGCAGGCATGTACACTTACTGAATGCAATAGTATGAACGATAGTGGTTTACTAACAAGTTTCTGTGAATCGTGCTTATTCACATCCCTTAATCCGGTCGCACCAACCTCCGACACAGGGTTCCCCTTTTCGCAGCATGTCGCCAGCCGCGCGAATCCTCAATTCCCCCCTTGGATTATCCTCACACCTAGGTCTCGATGTTAGCGCATATATGACTCACACATCCGAGGTATAAATACACACGCGCAAACCCCTTCACACACGACACAACGACACCAACGTGGTTGAGCTCTCCTCTCAGCTCTTTTTCTTAATCGCGGGTATCAGACAAGCGTAATCGGGCCAGGGTTAATTCCGTGGCCCCGGCGTGGTTCAAGACCACATGCGGGGGCCCGCAACAGAGCAAATTCACATGAAAAGTTAAAAATTCCATTATAAATTTCGGAGTAAAGCAAGGAATTTTCACAGCATATGAGGCACGATGCCGCATGAAAAAATTGCAGCAGAAGAAAGCAGGAGATTAAAAAGGCGTGTCTTTCTCAGCAACACACTAGTGAACATAATGGGGCAATAAGTAAATGTAGTTTTTAAGTCAAAAAGATGAACTAACTTAACAGGTATCAATACATACTTATCTCGCGTACGACAAGTGGCTATTATGAACAGAACACAAGAAATTAAGAACCTATAACGTACGAAAATCAACTTACTTAGACAAGTAGTCGTCGATGGTGGCGTATTTCCCGAGACTAGGAACTCCGGTGGATTTTCCAGAGCCCTCTGGACCGAGACCGCCAAACGAGGTTTTCTTTTTCCTCAGCGGGGCCCCGCCAACACCGAGACGTCGCAGCGCCTTGCTGACCGACCGATTCTCGATGCGAATGTTGAAGTGACGCACGTACACCACGTCCTCGCCTTGGCAATTATCAACCTCGCGACTAAGGAGCAACACTCGACGCACGCTGCTTAATTTGAGCTGAAATTGAGCATATTTTGACCAAAATAGAGGTTTCAAGCTAAACCCAGCCGATCCACTTTCCCATCGAATAGAATCTCTCCCGAAGTGAATCTATGCGGTACTTAATTTACCCTATTGAAAATATGGGAGAATAGTGGTGGTGACTTAGACGTGTGACCAATAACAAATTCAACATTACTCAAAAGCCGCTTCCCGAGACTACACAAAAACTAGTGTCTTGGAATTGCGCAATCTGTGCCAGAACACAATGGCCGAAGTTTCTGATTAGATAAATCAGAGGCAGGCGTTCTGGATTCGCGCCTGAAAGTGATCAAGGTGGCTATTTGTTTATACGAAGGGAGAATTTTAATACAAATTCAGTGAGAACCTCGAAATGCAATTCAAACAGCCAGTTGTTGAGATGCAGTATCTTATTTCGTAAATCTATGTTTTAAATAGATTTACCTCGCATCCTATAAGTGACAGATTGCCACCGCGATCTTTAGCAAAAAATGCCTGTGAGCATCATGAACCAGTGAAACAAACTGTTAAATTATAGATAGAATTTACAGTTCTGTTAAAAGCGACTAGAATAGCAAACAAACCTTCTGGATGTTAAGAGAGGGCAGCATGTTCTGAAACATGTCGACAAGGAGGCGCAGATGGGGTGGAGGGGGGCCACCGCCTGACGTGGACGAACCGAAGCCCGTCATGGCCAGAAGTGGCGGCGAGGCGAATTGACGCACGTCGAAGACTCTGCGGACAAGAGAGAAGACGTCTCGAGTAAGCGAGTACTCGGAGACACGGAATGTCAGGCTGGGACCGCTGGGCGAACGTATAACGTGTAAATAAACACCACCTACGAAGAAAGATGCGGTTGGTTTAGTTGGAGTTGGATTTGTTACCGAAGAACTCTATGTTCGAATAACACGGCATGCAATTCGACACCCAAATCAAGCATTACACAGGAAAACGAAGTTACTGTTGAAATTGAACAAAGTAAGCGACAGTAACGGAGATAAACAGCTTCATGGTGGTATTGCACTAAACCCTACCCCATATCGAAGACCCGACAATTACATTAGCGATGAGCAGAGCAATTATGGGAGTGCAAATAAAACTATCCGGTCATGCACATCGAGGTCGATTCTGACGTGGAGAGGTGAAAGCGCTACTCAAAAGCCACGTGTGAGTAAAAATGACCTCATTGGATTAAGTGCAGGAGGCAATAATGATATCGAGGCAAAAATCAATTGGCCCTTAGGTACTCGACTTTTGATTGTCATGACGAGAGCAACAGACAATTCCTCTGTGCTTGTTTCGGAGTGGCAGTCAACTGATGCGGTGTGGAGAGAAACAAGTCCCCCATTTCCGAGTAAGCGATTGAGTACTTAAGTGCGTCAAATAGAAAAAAACATTTGTTGTGCATGCCCTGTATGTCTGAGATGTCTGCTTGCAAGGCCACATTACGAGAAGGTCCGTAAATCTACAGGAAACGCAATTCGATTAGCAGGTTCGCCTTCTTAACTGAAAGTAAGAAGACATCAACAGAACATCGACAGAGCAACCTGAATGCACTTAAATTGGACGCTGCCCGATGAAAGACAACTCGCTTCCAAATTATCGCGCACAAACATACCATGAGCTCGGAACAAACCAACCGGTTTTTAGAACCCACACTGTTAAAAAAATGGGAATTTACCAGCTGCAGATCCCTTCTGCTCTCCCGTATCATCATCCTTTTCCTCAACAACGACACCGAGTTTTTCCCGTTTCTTCTCCAAATTAGCCGCGTACCGACTCCTCTTAAGCGCGAGCTTCTCGGGACGTGGATGCGTGAAGTAGAGGATGTGCGAAACATTCAGCGGGCCGGCGATGTTGATGAAGTCCTTGAGAACATTCTTCTTCGTAACCTTTAACTGGGAGGCGGTGTAGGGCTCGAAGATGCGACGAGCGTCCAAAGCCAGCTGTTTGACCAGCGAGCCGACGTTGGGACGAGCGAAGACAAAGCTGTGCGGCGCCCGTGCGTACTTGCGCTCCTCGGCGATGATGTTGGTGTTGCGCGACTTGCGAACTGATCGGGGGCGACGGCGTGCACGCGGCATTCTACGAAATAACGAGGAGGAGAAATAAATGGGGCAAGACTAACACCTTCCTGTTTTACGTTCTAGCAACTAAAGGTGAAAAATGCAACTGAGTGATCATGGTTCCACAAAAACGTGTTGTGATGTTTGCCAAAACGACGACAAGCACACCGCAAGAGTATGGGGAACCCCACTGAAGGTGTGCTGCTTAAAACGATGGAATTCAAAATAGTTAATGTGAGTTTAGGGTTGTGCCGTTCTCAACCATTTGGAAAATTTAGCAATCACAGATTCTACGTTGAAATAAAGCTAAATTCCATTGACGGGCGTAAAAATTATTACTGCCTTTACATAAATCGCCCAAGAACTAGCAACATCAGCAAAATAATCTAAAAAAAAACAAGTTACAACGGGCCACTTAATAAGCACAACACATGTGTCAGGCTCAATTGTTTATTGGTTCTTTTTTTTTTAATACATCAGACATGGGGGTTCGGAAAGGCGGTTGTGATCAAGAAAAGGGACGACCGAACCGGAGAGGAAGATGGTTCAGAAATTCAGGAGTGTGCCAAATCAGTGTGATCTTTCATTTCAGAACGAAGACAAACCTGCAAAAAAAAAGAAACAAAGAAGGGCGTAAGTCTGCATTTTTTTACAAACAGGAAAATCATTACTAACATTAGCGATTCTACAGTTGGTCCATAAAATCTTTAGATTAACACTCCATGAGTAGACAAGTCTTACCAATTACAGCCTTTCCCAGCTGAGGCAACTCCAAGTGCCGAAGGCACGGTTAGGCGGCAACAAGCATGACCGACTTAGAGTAGGTCTGCCAAAATAAACTATCTACTGCCTATTAAACAGTCGCATACCTGCGCGCATGTCCTCGACTTCCAAAACACTTTTGATGCGAGAACTTTAATATATGCAGAGATTGTCTTACAAATAACTTTCGCCTCATGACATGTTAGCAGGTGGCTCAAAATATTCCAAAGAAAGGCCGTCATCAATAAATGGCTAAAACCGTTCTGAGGCAACTGTAGCCTGGCTGGCATGGGTCGATCATTGTCTCACACCGTTTCACCAATCATAATTCAATTGGTCTATCGTCTACTCGAAAGACGTGCTGTAACTCTACATGAATACGTAAGCCGACATAGTAATTTTACTCATTATAAACTGCCTACTGAATTTTGCGTGGGACACTGCTGATGCGTGCATGCTGAGCGTAAAGTTTGGGTAAAGGAGCATCTCTTAGTGACCAGCTCTGATAGATTAGACTTAGAGCATCAAAGAAACACATAACTCAATTCGATGATGGCTAAAAATGCTGAATAAGGCTAAACTGGAAGAACACGCCACGACTTCCAGATTTAAGGAAAAAAGGTCCGCGAAGCAATTTAGCGGACATAAGCAAAGTTTCAATATTACCGCTGTATTGATATCGATAAGCACTAAGATTTATCTAAAGGAATAGCCAACTACATAGTGGGAATAACTTCACAGCCAAACGCAAGCTACATGACAAAGTAATCTCGCATTGGTGCAACAGAAATTGACCAACCGTCTCAAATAATGGTGAGAACTAACACTAAGCAATGTCATGCGAAAAACGCAGATTGCTAGAAGGAATAGCACAGAACCTGTCCACAAGACGAGCAGGTTTGCAGGCGGCTGGTGACGAGCTTGGCCCATGGGGGTGGGGCGACGGCGTGGGCGCGCGCCGGCGAGGCGCAGTGGGGCACGCGAGGCGCGGCGGCACCCCTCAGGGCCCGCAGCAGAGCCCGCTGAAGGCCCACCTCGGGCAGGAGTGCAATCATCGAACTGAGCCAGTGAAACTGCCCGTCCTTCGCCTCGTCCGCATCGCCCATTCGACCGAACAGACCGTCCAGGCCCTAAGACGGAATTTCTGCGCAATTATGCCAATAAGTGACGTGCCCCCTGTAGGTCGCTTGTGTTACGAAAACGCTGCCACCAAAATAATACATACGACTTAATATTTAAATTTATCACTTTTGCTCCGTGATCGAACGTCTGTTCACGTTTTGAAACACATCACCATGATTTGTCGAGACGCCATCAATCTGCTTGTCACGAGCGTACGATAAACGTTCTGGGTGAAATGTTTTTGTTAGGTGTCATTCATTAGTCAATTTTCGGCTCTTTGTAGAACACATGTCGACGTTCATTCCTACTACTACACGGGTTAGTCCGAGGTGGCCGGGCTGTTCTTGACCTAACTGACCTCAGATCAGTGGAATCTGGTAAACTAACGTTTATAGGCATCACTGAAGAGGTGCAGAAAGTGTGCAAAAGTTGGATTTTTAGCATCCACAAGCCTATCAACAATTTAAATCGTGTTTGTGATGGGATGGCACAAAACACGTTCTAAATCCCTTTTACCTGAAATCTTGTACTGATAGCTACGTGGTACTCAAATTCCTGCAAAGCAGGACCATTTAAGTGGACGATTGTCAGCAACAATTCCGATTGTGCAATGACTGAATTATTAGGCCTGAGTTCTGTCTCGGAGCATAAAAAACGGCCTCTGCTTAAAGGGCATCATACTAGTCGAGGTGTTAAATGGTAATAAGTTGGAACGTAAAAACGTGAAAGAACGCTCACAAATTTGTATAGCGAAAAAGGCTGAGGCAGATGTAAGTGCAATGCTAGCTGTAACAGAAAGTCGGGCTTACTTGTACGTAGGCCTGGGCAGTGAGCTGACCGTGACGGAAGAGGCGCGAGAGATCAGCAAATCGAGAGAAAGAATTTTTGACATTGCTATTGCTCAATGTCTCCTGAGCCACTCTTATTAATTCGCGATTTTTTTCCGCATAGTGTTGCGGTTGTGTGTAGATATTCTACGGAAAAAACGTTTTTCGTGGTATGAGACGCGTTTGGCTGTGGTGTAAGGTAATAAGCAGGGATGTGATTTGCCCAATTTAGTGATTATTTCCTCATCGCGTAGTGTTGGCAGAACGGCAAAACTGCCCGGAAGTCGCATAACCAAAACAACAATGTACACACCTTATTTTCCGATGAAAATTTGTTGGCGCACTAACTCAACATCACAAAAACATGATGATGACATCGTGGCGGTAGTTTCGAAGTCTGCTCGTTTTTTTGGCACTAGCAGATCCGAAAAGTAAAGGTGGTGAACGTCACGCTTCTACGACACACCAGATAACCAATCTTTCGTTCTTAGTTAACTGAAAAATACATTGAACATGTTGTTAACTATGCTCGACAAGTCTTCAGTGTGCAACAGCGTATTCACACTGATAAAAGTGGAAAATTGGCCACAAAGGTTGAAAAGTTTGGATTTTTCGAACGTCTAGAGTCAAGGCTTGAAGTACAAATTAACCCTAGACAATGTTGTTAAATAGAGAAACTCGGCACAGGAATTGAAATATGCTAAGATGTTGAATAAACACAATAAAAAACCACTGACTATGGATTACAATTCCATATCTTAACGCTTTGGTGGTGAACTTCACTGCCACTGGCGTCAATCAAGCCTGATCTAGAGCCTCTTAGCCGGAAATTAGATGCTGAGCAAGTTGGACAAAAAGGAATAACACGAAACTTCCACAGCACACACAAATATCTGTTCGCAGCCGAGTGTTTCCACTTACGTCTTTAAACAACACCGTTTCTGTATCCTCGACATCATCAAGACTTGTCGTTTTCACGCTTCCTTCGGTTGATGGGGCAACTTTTTTCTTTGGAGGCTGTGATACTTTCGTCTTTGTTTTTGGGGCCTTCGGCACAGCTTTTGCGTTGGCTTTCTTGTCGCCACAAAGAGATGGGAACTCGTTTATAGAGAAATCAACTGGTTTTTTTGGAACCGATTCACTGGAGGAGACCACGGGCTCCAACGAATCGACTACCAGAATGTGCGCGTTCGTCGAGGTGGAACCTTCCTCATTCAGATTTAGTCGTGCCAGAGCACCCTGCACATAAACAACAGCATATCGTTAATACGTAATTGATAAGTCGTCAGGAATTTCTCACGCTATACACCACTTTTTGTTCAAGTGTCGTGGATATAAGCCAAGCCGAACAAGCGAAATTTAAGGATAAAATCAAAGGGCAAAACGGTTAAATAAGAATAAACCGAAAACGTTTCCCTAACTGCCACAAATTTTTGTGACATGAAGATACCAATTGGTGGGATGGAACGACGAGATATATACGCCACACATAAGAGTAGTCAATGCAATCGTGAACATGATTGTTTTGAACTATTTCACCACTTCTGGCAACCAAACGCATACTATTGCGAGAAAAATTAGCAGAATGTGAAGACAGGTCTCGTAGAATAAGAGCAAGTGATCTTTCATTCACAGCCTCTGTACTTTGGCAAACTGAACATTTACACACAATAGAAAAGAGCCTGGCAGTCACTTTAATGCAACTCAGCTCACGCTGTTATCGGCCTCATTCCACCAGCGACTCTTCCTAGCTTTATCAATAGAAGGCGAAAAGGGAAGCAAATCGGGGGCGGGTTGAGGAGGCGGCTCCGTCAGTCTATTATTTTTTTTGCCCTTTGTACTCTTTGGCTGTTGGTTATCTTTCGAAGGGGGATGGTATGGAGGTAGAAGAGGTTTGCCGCCCGACACTAGCGAATTGCTGCTACCGTTGCTGGCAGAGAGGGAGGGAAAGTCGTTTTCCGTTGGCACAGGCTGATGCCGTTGCTTGGCTGGGTTACCAGCAACAACAGCGGCCGACGAGGAAACCTTGGCGCTCCAATTTGTTGCTGGGGTGTTGGTGGAGGTGCCACCGCCAGCAAGACTAGGAAAATCTTCCCTGCTGGGAGGTAAGACATCGCGCTGAGAACCGGCGGGTTGTTTTTCACTGGCCGAACTTGCCGCAACCCTTTTTTCAGCAGCCCAATCTTTTTGCGGTTCTGTAGAGTGAAAAGCAAAAGGTTAAGTTTCGCGCTTCTGGGTTTCTGGTGTGTTTTGCCATTAAAACAGACTACTCACTATGATTTAAGCCATGTAAATTGTCAAATTAAAACACAGTCAAATTGAGTTGTTCTGATGAAAATATTACAACTCAACATCGAAAACCACAAATTGACCCAGACACTTGCTATTACTACAAGCTGCATCCAGACCACAAGAAAAGGCCCTGCGATAACGGCTGTTTCCAAATTTAACGCAAGTGGCCTGGACTTATTTAATGAATATTCAATTCAAAGGAAGGCAGGAGCGTGGTTTCCGCGACAGCACACATTACTGCCAATGGAATGAGTTTGCATGAGTCAAATAGCAGCCACACAGACAGCCTTGACATCGCCTCTAGTACTAAAAACAACACATAAAGTTAACGTTGAGACATTCAACTTCACCCACGCGGAGGAGCTGAGGAGGTGGTAGATGACGACGGAAGACTGGGAAAATCCTCTGAATTGACCAACACGGAATGTCCACTACCAACAACGGAAGCGAGAGAGCGGCCAGTGCGTCGATGTGGCTTACTTGTAGCCTGTTTTTCTTGACTAGAAGGAGGGCCGCCACTTAAGGAAGGAAAATCCATGGCTGTCCACTCCTCGGGCATTGGCCCACGGGATTGAGAATTGTACGATTCAGGTGGAGGAGCTGAAAAAAAATTGCTAACTGCATTTTGCGGCACACGGGATTATTGACTGTATGGACAGCATTTTGCCGCACTACTATCAGCTGGATCTCGGAATGTGTATTGACAATAAATCCATAACAATTAAACGAGTCTGGACATATACCAGCTTTTTATGGTCGAATTGCCTTCATGAGATAACCAAAGGAAGACATAAATCAGGGCAATAGAAATGAAAAGGAGGAAGTAGCGTATCTATCAGCACCACTGCCATTAAAAACTAACCTTCTTCGTCCCCGCCCTCGTGTGCATAGGCAGTGCGTCTGTTGTTCCGTGTGTTTGCATGTTGGCTAATAAGGCCATGTGTTGAGAAGCGAATCTGCAGCGGCTCCCAAAGGCTGGGATCACCTTGTGATTCGTTAGGATGCTCGTGCATTCTGTGCAAACCGAGTTGGTCGTTTGAGGCATAACACGTCATTCGGCCAACCACTTCGCATTCGGGACAAACGAAGTGTGCGGCTTTATAGTGATCAAAGAGTTCTCTCTGGCGGCTGAATTGAAGAAAACAAATCAATCACCGATGAAGGATGTACTTGAAAAGATCTTAACGACGGTTTTGAGATAAACCCCGTATTATAATTCATGCACAATAGTCGTCTCATCCTCAAACCATGCTTGATTATATTTGGGAACAATGTGCTAATTAGATGAAAATAAGTGGATGCATTACTGACGCATCGGCTACTGCCAGGCCACAAAGTAAAGGACAACTAAATTAGAGTTTTGAGAATGGAATAATTCCCTTTCTACTACAATCTTTGACCAAGCGATTCAAGTCCTTCATCAAAATCAGGATAATAAAAAAAAGTTTGATGGGCAACGGCTGTGACAGATGATGCACGCTAAACGAGGTTTAGATTTAAGTGTACATGATAACGATGAGGAAAGATTTTGATTCAATGAAATAAAGCATAAGATAAAGACAGAGAAGCATGGATTCGGTTCAGTTATTGACGGTATAATAAAAAACAAATTCTAGACCATTATTGTTCTCATAGTACCGCGAATAAACTGATTAAAAAACCTGAAACCTACCGAAAGACTTCAAACACAGCAACTGAATGACAAAAGTCGCAGAGGAAATGGACTTCGCGAATATGCTTAACGAGATCTTCAAACTCGTAAAATGTCTGAGTACAGAATTCACAAACAGGATGACCACGCTTTTTCTCATTATCCCATTTTCTATGAATAGCAAGTTGCTCTCCTGATAATGGAACGAATTCACACGGCAGCAGCTAAACTACACGTTGAAATACAAAATTGCAACAAACGCGAGCATGACGCAAACACAAGTCACAGAACGAAAGGCAATGTTCGTTGGTGGTATGCCTATTCAGAGCTGACATTGAAGCGGCTGTATAACCACAAACAGAACAAACGCAGGACAACATTTTTTGATATAATTGCTGAACTTCTTCGTTTTCAAACAGAAAGTCAAACTCGACATCATGAGATAAAAGAGAGAGATCAACATCTTCAAATGGTGTAAATTTGGTCATTATTATTACCTACAAGTTATTTTACACAAAATTACAGGCTTACTCGAGTGAGGCGAGCTCGGCAAGTTGCACATTTGGAGAACTCAGGCTCGTCGATGCTCCCGAAACGCCGTAATTTAATGGCACAGCGAGCACATGTGGGATGATCACATCGCCCATATGAATAAAAGTCAATTTCATCTCTGCAGATAGGGCATATGTTACTTTCACCGAAATTATCCATGAGAATCTACAAAAAAAGGCAGTCGGCCTGTAACCGGTCAAAAAGTAAGCTGACACACGTACTCGCCGAAATATTAAATTTGGCGCTACTGGCAGAAAATATTAAAACGTGACTTTTAATTGTGTGGCTAACCTGTTTTTTAAACTGATTGCATAGAACTGGCAAAAGCAGAAATGTTTTCTGATAAACTGCAATTACAGGGCAAAATATAGTACAAAAGTCATTGAAAAGTAGCTGGAGACGCAGTATATCTTTGTAATGCATGAGTGATTCAGGTTGTGCCAAAATTATAAGGGTTCCTCAAAGTATCAGTCAAAAATCTAAACAACTTGCATGTCTTAAAAGTAAATGTTTGAATTAATTAATGTCTATTTTCGTAAATTTTGATAAAACTGGTGTGTTACTTTCATTTTTTTTGGAGGTGACGCTATTGGCATTAGATAGTTGCAAATTCTGCCTTTAAATTACCCCTAATTTCTCAACTTCATTCCATCTGTTTTTATTTAGAGGAGATGGGGGGTGATGACAAAACTTCTGTTTCTTTCATTGAAGTCAGGTGATGTCGAAGAACACATAAAAACCAAAATAACGGGGTAAAATTAGAAAGCTACGTTTAACCGTGGATATTCTGTTTATTAAGATGCTGAAGCGGGATGTGATGTGCTATGTTGATAGCTTGGAGTCAAAAACTTAGTCATTCATACCTGTGCTAAAAATGCAGCTAAGCGGGGCCTGTTTAGTGCCTACAGGAGGAGTCCAAAATAAGTATTAGAGTTCTTTGGGGTTGACACATGGTTTTGGACTGGTGACACAGATTCCAGTCATTGTATTGAACAGACAGAGCAATCAGTCATGACTGATCTCTGGTAATGCTACTGAATTCATAGGATATCACCGAGTAAACATCAGATACGAAAAGACTCATTTGACCTTATAACTTCAGCGAACCATACAGGCAAAATTGGTAATTTTTTGTTTGAAATAGTTTTGCGTGAAGATCACAAATAAACAGCTCTCATAGCTATTGATAATCAATGACGCCTTGTGAGGGCATCTACTTGCCGTGATACGTCCTGTTCAATGGTATTTAAACTAACTTATATCCGTAAAATCTCTTTAAAATGTTTGTCTTTCACTATTATTGTTCCTTTTTCTTTTTATGGGCACTTTTTGTTATAATTCTTACTCGTATACAACAAAAACAATGGCTTTAACAACAGTAAATATAACGTTGGGCTTATGCAGCTTGTCATATGTGATTGTTATCTTTTTTAATGAGCCTTTTGCGTGCAGCAACATTTTGAACAATTCAGAATTTAAAAAAAATTTACTTTAGCTCTCCAAAAATTTTGGCTTCTCCAACTTGACTTTAGCATCACTATCTCTCATGCATAACCAAAGATGGGAGCGACTAACTTACATCGGCAAAATTAACACTCACTCGAAGGACCAAATCTTTTTGTTGGTATTGTTGTAGTTTGTTGATCAAAGGATATTGTTATGATTAATAAGCCAAGGTATTTTTTCTTGGTCAGGTTTTTGTAAAGGTCTGCGTGTTTCCTCCATCATGAAAGACGAAGCTATTAAGTTACCAAAAATCTTACCAAACTTGGGCAAACGGGAATTTAATGGTGTTACTTGGATTCACTATGCATAAACGTTCGTTAAAAGATCAAATATCAATTGTTCTTACAAGAACAGATGCCTGTTAACATTACCTTCCTTTTTTATAATGGAATGAGCAGTTGTACATTACTCCTTTTTTTACATATTTTTCTTGGTTTATCATGCTGCGCCAGGCTACAGTAATATATATTTCATATTGCGACGGTGTGGAAGCCAAGATTTGGGCTGCATAATTGTCTTGAACTAAATAAACAATACACATAACTTAAAAAACTAGAGGTGCTTGGAGGTGACATAGGCACGACACTTTATCAGACGGATCAATCCTTTGTTTTTTGTCTTATATCAGTTTATGTTTAAACGTGCAAAGGTGAAACAGGACCAAGTGCTATTAAAAAGTGAGTTTAAAAGAAGTGGAAAATGTAAAAGTGCTTAAATAACACGATGTGTTAAATATGTGTCAGATATGGTGTGTGTACGAAGATGTATTATCAGGCCTTCCCGAAAGAATCTAACATTTCGACACTGATGACTTCACTGGTTACGAAATATTAATTTTCCTGCCCATTGTACCCACTGGCAGCTGGTCAGACTACTTAATGAAAGATGTTGCAAGTATACATTTTTAAAGAGTTAGTAAACCATTGGCTCTGAAAAAGAATCGCCTGTTCACTTTTTTAATATTGAAAGCCCTGTCATTGCAATCCCTTTAAATCACATAATCAAACTTTGAGAGTTTCGACTACCTTGGTAACTCTATGCTACTGAAAGTTACTTTAAATATAAGAGAAATGGTTGTTAAGAAACGGAGGAGGAAACGTGGGAGTAAAAGCGAATAAAGGCGAAAAAGGCGAAAAAAGGAGATAGAGGTCATGTCCGGTTAGCATGCTTTAGTACTGGACATCGTTAAACCATGGGTTTCGGACGGCTTGGTCAAATGGTTCAATGCCTAAATTTTTCCATATGTATTCTAGGCATGATAGATAAGGTGTTATGCAACACACATTTGGTGACTTTATATGACACTACTTGTCTGGAATGGGAGCGATTGGTTCTATCCACGTTCCCATGTTTACTCACACATATTAATGTGTCTTGGTGCTAGTAGATTTAACAAAGATCGTTAATGCAAGGCAGTAGTTCGTGGTGGACTGTTAGCACTTGTGTGTGAGCAAATTCTGTGCACAGAATTAATAGTGCTAATGATTGCTGTTATCAATCGTCCATTACGCATACTCACACATCCACAGGCATATACTTGGCTCGTGAGTCACAAATATGCTTTGGTGTTATTTTTTGCCTCTATTGTTTCTGTTTACGAGTTGTTAAAGGCTTCTAACTAGTAGGGCTGGTGGGTAGTGGAAACAAGCCACATTAAATTCAGTTTTGCAATCGGTTACCACCCCTGAAGTAACTTGCAGCTAAGTCCTAAGCTAAATGTGTAATACAGCCAGAGGGTTAAGATTGTTATTTCAAAACTGGGCTATAAGCAATACCAAAAAAATTGAAAGCTTTTGGCAGTAGTCTTTTCGATGAGTCCTTAACCCAAGTTCCTCCATATTTTGAGATAAAAGTACTTGTTTGTGAGCCATTATATTGTTCAATCGGACGTGAAAATCTAGTATATCGTTAAAAATAATACTTTTAAGGCAATCGTGTCTGTCTTTATATTATTTGTCCAGCTGTTAAATTATGCCAAACAATGGACAAAATCCACAAATACCCCTAGCCAATCAAATTAGTCAGCTAGGCGCCCGTTATAAAACAATCGACAAGTAGTCGACTTCTGGCATCGTATCTTTCTCGATGGGTGTTATTAAATCGGATGTAGATTTCAAGAACTATAGGTACATGTAGTAATTATGAAGCTTTTATTTCAGGTTTACTCAATTGAAGAATGGTCTACGGGTCATGCTGATATCTAGTCTGAAACCAGGCGAAGAACCCGAGCTTATCTCTGACGACTCTGCGGTTGAATCTGAAGGTGAAGGTGATGAAGAGTCCGAGGATGGGGAATTTGAAAAGTCAGATGTTAATTGTGGTAGCTGTACGCATGAGGAATCACCAAAGTTGCGGAAGGTTTGCTTTTTCTCCGTTAGTTATCTTGACATTAGGCTGCTGCGGCATTATGTGTTAATGTCGGGAGTTTTTCTGATCCACTTGAAGCTCAAGGGCTTGCTCACTTCCTAGAACACAGTAATGTCTACCTGTTTAATTAAAACTTTAAATTTGTTCTCAGTGGTTTTTATGGGCAGCGAAAAGTACCCTCGGGAAAATGATTTTGATGATTACGTTTGTCAACGTGATGGATTTACCAATGCTTTTACAGATGGAGAGTTTACGATTTTCTACTTTGACATTCAGAGGCGCCATTTTGGGCCAGCATTGGACAAATTTGCAAATTTTTTCGTTTCACCATTGCTTAGCGAGGATTGTGTCAATCGGGAATTGGAAGCGGTTCATAGCGGTAAGTTAGATTAAACATTTTCGTGCGGTACAGTGGCATTCAAATGGTCCTTTCATATAATTTATTTTTTAAAAAAAGAGTATGAACTGGCCAAAGCAAACGATCATTGGCGTCTAGAACATTTTGTATCCTCGTTGGCGAAGGACGGCACGCCCTACCGTAAATTTGGGTTCGGTGAGTTTTCTGACCTAATTTTACTATTAGGCTCAGCTTTGTTAGCTATCAATTGCGTATTTTTTTTATTCTAGGTAATCGTATCTCTCTAAAAGACAATCCTACTTCAATCGGTACAAATGTATACGAAATGCTTCGACAATTTCAGCTCCGTTATTACACTTCACAACTTATGACTTTGGCAATTGAATCAAAAGGTAGGCTCTGCTTTCTGCTTGGGCAACTTTTCTTTTATATAATGGCGCTTTGCAAAAATCTAAATGATTCTCTGCCGGCACTTCTTTTTGCGGTTTCCGATTAGTTCTTATATGAAAAATACCTAGTTTCAACATTCGCTGGATATTAGTGTCTGTATTCTAGATGTACCTTATTTCCGATATTTTATGACATCAGTGACTTCATCGTCGGACTCTCGTTTTTCAGCAGCTGTGTTATTTCCCCCACCCCTCCAAGAAATTCTAAATATTTGCACGAAAATTAAGTTGCTTCCAAACCAATTGTGAAAATTTTCGCCCACGATTAGTATCGCGGCTCCTTTATAATTTGTGCATTTTATATATGTACCACTCAAAAAACCTTTTTTTAACAGACACATTAGATTACCTTGAGAACCTCGTAATTGACATCTTCAGCCACATTCCTAATCGGTAAGATATTTATAAAATGCTTAAATTGTTAAATTTTCATGAAATATGGGCTGAATTTCATGCGTTATAGGTTCGCCTTACCAGTGGCGTTACTTTTGGTCGTGACTTTTTACCTCATTTTATTTAAACAATGTAGCCCCCTTGTTGTGCTGAAAAACAATTCGGGTTTGGACTGAGAACACACTGGCCGTGCTCTGCACTGGTCCGTTGTCAGAATTGGCTTCTTTATTCATGTTAGCTGTTTTCATGTGTAAGCCCTAGGTTTTAAAGTACTTTGGAAATATCGTTCACGCCCCTATCAACGACCACCTCGCTTACGTGAGACGTGCTTAAGGTATTTCACAAGTGCTTTCTGTGTGAGACTTACGTAGTGATCCTGCAGTAAATTGAATTTCCATGCTGAGACCTCATCACATCAGACAACCACGGTTTGATTGATCTAAAAGGAAGCATTTGAACCCCTCTGGCTCCTTCCGCCTCATTTTTTTCTTGGATACTTTGTGCTATATCGTACTGCAGCATGTTTTATTGACGCATTGCCTTCTAACCAGGTTGCGTTCACATTCCTTATCATCCCGTCCAATTTCTACCCAAGTTTCTCTTCTCAGGGACTAATTCATATTTGCATTACTTCTTTCACTTAAAACCAATCTCTTCTGATAAAATTTTCAGCCTGTTCAAGCCCTTCCCGGCTTCATTAATTTCAGTTTTTCCAGAAGTCCATTTTCTCGAAGTAACGGTTATTTGACTGGTATTTAATATTTGATTACTTCTTTCTCAATTAACGTTCTTTTGTCTTTCCTTCACTACACAGGTTTGCTGAAAAGCCAAATTTTAAGCAATTCTCGGACCCCTTCCCTGCGTCAGCTTTTAATAAGCTTTATAAAGGTCAGTGCACTAAATCCACTTGCTCTCCACAGCGATTTTTTCCCTAATTAAATCTCTTTTGTAGTTTGTCCCATAAAAGAAATGGTCACCTTGAATTTCATCTGGAGTCTACCATCCATGCTACCGTTTTACAAGTAAGCCCCCTCATAACTGCTTTAATAGACCAACATTTTTTGCATCTTAAAAAGGGAACTTTAGCTCAGACTTGTTGATTTACTTCATGCCTGTATTTTCCCAGACAAATCAAATTGGTTTTTTGAGTTTGGGATGCATTCTCCCATTAAATGTCTCCATAATTCACCAATGAAGTAATTTGACGATCTAACGATATTCCTGGTTATCCTGTGTAAAAGGTAAATTGTTACGCCTTTTTTGGAGTCCCCCTTGCAAACGTCAATTTTAAAAATTTGCTCATCAGCCTGAAGGGGAGTTGCTGCTTCGTGGTTTTCAATTTTTGTAAGAAAGTTATCAGGTTCTATCGAATTTCATTATTGTTAGTCTGAAACAAAGTGGTGTTTTTTGTATCAGCTAGGATGGATGTTCTGGTCTGTCAAAAACGAAACGCCTGCAACTCCAATTACAATTGGAAATAAGTTTACTTCTTGGATTTTTCGGCCTTCAGAATGACCTTTAGTCTGACCTTCATTTTCCATTTGTCTAACCTTCTTGTCATTTCCACAACTTATTGCATTATGCCATGAGTCCCTTGAGTATCATACTCGATGTTGTAAGTAAATAGTTAAGAAAGATTCCAATTTTTTATTTGTTAATAAAACACCTGAGTGGATTTAAAACGTTAGTTGGTCAGGAAATTTGTTTTCGGAATGTAAACAATCAGTATATTTTGGTCACAGGTTATAAATTTGTACAAGTTTACCAGTGTTACTACGATATTCCTTGGGCAGCTTTCGATTACTAACTAACGCTGTTAGAACACTGTGTTTAATGACAATTCGGTGTTGTTAGACATTCTCATGAACGTGGGTTATTGTTTTTAGAGCTGCACCGTTGAAATTCCTCGGCGCTGTGGTTGGCTACGAGGGAAAGGGCAGTCTCCTAGCCTTCCTTCGCGAACAGTGAGTGCGGTTCGAGTCATTCGGTGCTCTTTTTCCACTCATGTCACACCTGCTGCATTTATTACTAATCTAACAATTTTGGGTAGAACAACCTTAAAATTCCGTCAACTGGACATGATTTATTTGCCCCGGTGATGTTAGTGTTTCATTTGCTTTTCTCGATTGAAACAAGTTACAGCCTCCCTGTGGTTCGCGCACTATTGGCTTCGTCGCCGTTGCCTTAACTTCAATTTAGTGGCTGGATTTTCGTTTGAATCTACAATGGCGAAGGCGCTAAGTCGGCGGACAGATGACGAACATATCTATTTATCGATGGTAGCTCTTGGGAACTGGCACTACTGCCTTCAATTCTTGTGCCGTAACCGCGTTAATCTGTTTCGCAAAACTCCTAACCGTTGTTTAGTCTACACCTGAAAGTGGTGCGTATAAAATAAACAGTAAATGGTTTTTTGCATTGGATTAAGAGCTTTCGAGACTGCAAACAATGACTCCACAGGCTAACATTTTATCCAAAGCACTCAGTCAATGGCGCAAACAGCAAAGTAGCCTAATCACCGATGGAATTCTGTCGCGGATGCAAAGGGTTTCGTTTTCATTTAGAAATCTTGCCGTTGAGTTGTGTGCTGGAACCGTGACCACCGACAACACTCGGCACAACCAAATGACCAGTCTCTTCAGCATCTCCGTGGAACTCTCTGAACTTGGACGCGAATTACCTTTCACAGTTAGTCTTCATCATGCCTTACATTTATTAAATGCCGAAAATATCATATAGTTTTTGACACATCGAATAAAATGCCCGATTGATTTTTCGGTGAAATAACACAATGGGTCAAAGGTGTACTGTACACTTTTTCGTATCATTTCAAAGCTAGGTAAAAAGAGTGAATTGAACAGTATTGCCTAAGTCCATATGCATGTTATGCTTCCGCTAAAATTGATCATGTCTCGTAGGTAGCGTCTCACGTCTTCTCCTACCTACAAATGCTACGTGCCGCTGCCGACTTCAGTCTGGAAAACCCAGACGCAAGCACATCGCCATCAGGCGGTCGAACTCTCTCCTCACTTGTGCCGGAATACCAAAAACTTTGCGCGGCCAAATTTCGTTTCCAGGAGCCCCTGGATCCTTGCGACACCGTCCAAGTCGTCGCCATGTCAATGCAAACTTTCCCCTCCGACGAAGTCTACGTCGCTGACAGCCTTCTTCTGGAACCAGATCTTAAGGTGACGCTACATTGCGTTGTATGCTCCACTCTTGGTAGCGTCATTGTAAAGGTTTGTCGGTTTCTTCATTCACGTGTCAACAGTAATCCTTCTGAACGGATTCCCTTACTTGAGCGCACCATTTTACGAATTGCAAACTGCTGCCTACCGACGCGTCAATTCGGGCGATGACTCTCAAGCCATACTTGTAGTCACATGCCTATCAAGGTCGATGATTTAGTTAGTTTGGCCTACAAATCCATTATCAGCGCTTTGCTTTTTCCCACAACGTTGTTTTTTTCTTTCTCCCAGCTCTACGTGGACATCATTCGCCGATTGACGCCTGAGACCGCGATTGTCACTCTCACGTTACCGGAATTCACCAGCCAAGCAGCCGCAGACACCACTTCCTCGACGTATCTCACCGAACCTTGGTTTGACATTCGTTATGCCGTCGAAGGTATGTCACGTTTGCCCGTAACAAAGAGAAAACACCCACTCAAGTAACAGTGCCAGATCCCTTGCTGAATGCTAGAACCGACCTTCCCATGCTAATATAAGAACAAGACCGGAGCTCGTGTAGAGAGCTTCAATCATGTCAGCCACGTGCAGAGTGGGTTGTCGAAAGTGAAATTAATTCAAGTCAGGGTTGACCTTGACCCGATAGAAAGCATAATAAAGCACATGTTAGGGAATTTGTGTAATTAGTGCCAGAAACCAACGACGAGCAATCTTGGGGAATCGTGGATCCCCAACAGGTAAAAAACGATCTGTCTTATGTCCACCATAATTTCTACTAATTCGTCATCTCTATTTTTTTCATAATGAAGGGAGCTTTGCTCAATAATCCCCTACTAATTCAGTATTTCTGCATTCGTCGGCCTAGTAACCATAGCCACATTAGCCCTTCTAAGGTCGATTTTTTGGAGGTCGCTTATTGCCTTTGTTGTGTCGTGACTCTCTAGTATTACAGACCTTCCGTTTGTGTTACCTTTGGTAAGAGAACCCTAGGTTGTAGACCAAGTGGACATGAGATTTCCTTTTTAATGGTACTGACAGTTTTATCTTAGCATCGAAATCAGGCGTTCCTAATGTGCTATAATCAAAGCCGAGACTGGAATGTGTGTTGGTTGTTTACAAAATGCGGCCCCTTGGAGTCTTTCATTTTTTTTTCATGAAAGTCGGACTGTAGTCGGAATAACCCTGGTTTAAACCGAATCTCGCTGGTGCCTCTAATGCGCTTGTGTGATTTTCGGTTGTCGACTCATTTAAAATGCTAAATCGGTTGCTACGTGAGTTGCTCCCCTTAGCTTCTATTTGTGCTTTGCCTAGACATACCACCAGATCAGATGCAGATCTGGAAAAATCCCCCCCTGGTGCCTGAATTTCACCTTCCCGAAGTCAACCGCTTCATCCGTACGTCGTCTTCTGCTATGCTCTACTTGGCTGTAAAAGTTGTGTTCTCTTGCATGCTAAGCGATTTGTGGAACCCAATTTCATGACTTCGTACTCATTTAAAAACGGCCAACTTATTCAGCTTTTACTTTATAAATTCTTATCCAGCGTTTCGGTATCCCGAGGGTGAAAATTGATTATCCCTGCTCAAAGCCAGTATTTCTTTCCCCTAGCAACAAACTTTGACCTGCTGCCCCGAGAGGAAGACGACGAAGTAAGTCGGAGTGGAAGTGGTAGCAGCCCTAAAATCGCGACTTACCCAACTGTTGGCATTGTACATGCAGCTACAAACGACAGAGCCTAAATGGTTGTATTTTTAAAGCTTTTTCGAATAATCGATGGTTTCATTCAAGCACGATGAATTAACTCTATGTCATAGGTGTAAAAGTTAGATTATCTGGTGTCGACATCGAGTTCTATTTTTGCAAGATCTATTTCATGATGCCAGACGTGGAGTGTCGGCTGCCTAACGGTTTGTTTACTCGTCTTTCAGGTGCCAGTCGATCTAAATTTGGAGCCTGGTCGCGAGAACGCCAGGGCGTTCGGTCAGCTCTGGCACCAACAAAGGACCAAATTTAACGTTCCCATCGGTGCGTTAACTTGTGGCTTAGTCGTGCACTTTACTCCGAGCCAATATTAACCAGCGTCTATTTCTTAGCCCACGTGACGGTGCGCTTGTGCTCTAACATCCCCAAATCAGCAAAGCAGTGAGTCAATTTGGCCTTTTTTAATGCAGGTTTCCCCTTCGTCGTTTAATGGTTTTCCTTTCCACCGTAGAAAAGCCATTCTTCATCTTTGGGCTTGCGCTCTTGATCAGCGCCTTCAGACGCTTGTGTACTCGGCCTCTGAGGCGGGTTTGCTGTAAGTATCGCATTTATTTTTTTTAATCATTCTTACTTAAATGACCACAGGTAGCGAGGAATGTTTCCTTTTTGTAGTTTTTCCGTTTCGGCCGTGAGTAATGGATTGGAGATCCAGGTTTCGGGCTTTAATGAAAAGCTTTTCGTAAGTGGCTTGTGAGTGGCTTTAAACCCCGTGTTAACGTAGACTCTTGCCCAATCCCGATGTAAAGTACGTCTTACTCGATGACGGTATTTTTTGCCACTTTAGCCCGTAACCTTGACACTCATTAAGGTTCATTTATAGAACCTTCAAGTAGACAGTCTCACATGTCAGAAAAAAGGCCCGATTTAGTCGAAGCACATTCCGGTGCGTCAATGGGCGTTGGACATTTTCGTTCGAACTACGAACGCCCGAATGGGTTGATACTTTAATTTCAACATCAAGATGTGTGTGTACAGGTTTTTGTTAGCTACTTAAGGAAAGATGTGTCCACGTAAGTCCTGAATTTAAAGTGTACACCTAGTTTTCAAATTGCGGTACTATTTTTTTTACTGAAATCGTGTTCCCTGTCGAATTTTCGTTGACTGCCAACGTCGATGTGAAGAGACTATTTTCCATTCGTGTAACTTAAGTTTGAAAATTCAAACATTTCCTTAAGATCAAGATGTCCGTTTTCGCAATCTAAAAAGTGAGTAGAGCGTTTCACTCGAGAGAAGCATGGAACATTTGCGTTGCTTTTGTAGCTACTATACCAAGAGATTTTTGACTTGCTGTGCGCACCCCTGACCAACTCGGACGCGGGGCTGCTTAACGACCGAAAGTTCTCCACCTACAAGGACAGGTTGAGGCAAAAGACATGCAACAAAATCTTGAATCCATACAAATTCAATTGGTAAGTCTTCCGCATGCTTACCTCGCCAGTGTGGTTGGCTGTCGCCTATCTGTGCTCGTATCTACGGATCAAAAATCTACAGTCTATCATCTGCGCAAATCTTTTGGGCTACCTGGAGGTTTCTGTCCCTAAGTGTCGTAGTATTTTGGAAAAACCGTAGTAGTGTGTGTGAGTGTCCTTAATTTCGGACACCCCGTATATCGTATCAGTAACTATGCATAAGCCCAGTATTGGTATATTGTTTCAACAAACCACAAAGCTATTCATTGTTGCTTTCTCAACCCAAAAGTCTATTCTAGTATGCTTAGGTGTCACTTTGTAAAGCATTTCGCAGAAAAATTTGTTCTAACTGTGATATTGTGCCCTCATCTGATATTATTAACAAACTCATTGGTGGATAAACCACGGCCTCATTCAGGGTTTATTATTCCTTCCCCAGTCACATCCGAAAGTACTTGACAGACGCCACGGAGCACCTTGTGGTCGACTACATGAAGGCCTTGGAGGCGCTGTCGCTAGATGACTTTGTGCAGTTTGTTCCCCAAATGCTTTCTCAAATCTACCTGAAGGCGTTCGTTTATGGAAACCTTTCTAAAACTGTGAGCTTCCCACCTCTGAGATCTTCGTTCATTCACAGTATTACATGGCAATTCGAATGTGACTAATTTAACATCAAAGAACACACTTTAGAAACGGGAAAAGAAAAGCACGTTGTTTTTCTGACCAAATTGGCGAAGTAGGTAAAATAATTGCTGTTTTTCTTGCTGGTTTCATTGAAAGAGTATTCGAATGCTGGTGAACTGAGATTTCGGATCTGGTTCCAATGTGGGAAAAACTGATAACTTACTTGCCACCTTCAACTTAAACGGCGTATCCACGAGGAACATAAATTTTTCCTGTCGCGCAACTCCATTTAGTGGATTTTCAAGTCTTGTGATGCTTGTTGCTACTTCCCCGAGTGTACTTAATACGAGGACAAGTTGGGCCCGTGAGGGGTAACTCTTTTATTTCGAGTTACCTTGATGAGCGAGGTGTACAACGACCGGCATCCTCTTGAACACTTTTTTTACGCGGGTTCTAATAACTGATCTTGGAAACTGAACTCGAGCTTACAGTCGAATAATTTGCAATCCCCGTCACCCCCTGGGCTCATTGTAGCGCCTTGTTCAAATCGGAAAATCGCGATCTTAAACGCGGAAATGTCCTTCTAGTTCGTTACCTTGCTTCCTTCCCCATGTAAACATTTGACGACATTCCTTTCCACTTAACCGAGGTAGTGATAACAGACTATGCCGATGCACGTACTTACAAAGTCTAAGGTCGCTGTCGCCTGAGAAAGGCGAGTTTGAATGTAGACAACAAGTGAGGCCTTGTTGCATAAGATTTATCTTAAGTACTTTTTGTTACACAAAGTGTGATTTTCTCCTGCAACATCAGATATTGCCTTGTTGAGGTCGCCTACTAGATTTTATCTAATTCCTTTTACTGTCTTTAATTTGCTCTGTCTAATGTGGACTTGCACCACAGCACGTCAAAAGTATTTTGGAAATAAAATCTCAACCTTTCTTGTAATGCCTGTGACTAATTTACACTAATACTTATTTTAACCTTAATTATTGACACCTTGTATCATTAAGCTTTTGCCATGATCAACTATTATCTTTTTCTTCTTTCTCTCTAGGAGGCATTGTCGTTTTTCGATTATGCACTCTCCTCTCTAAAACCACCAAAAGCAGCCGTCTTAACTTCTGTAAGTTTTTGCCTTTTTCCTTGTGATTTAGGTATGGGCATAATAAGGACAAAGCGTAGCTGAATTTACCTTTATCGCATTCCATGTTGTCTTTGGATTTCATTCGAGGTTGCTGTCCGTCAATTGTGTAGCAACATCACTTTGCTAACCTTGTGCTGAATTTTTTAAATGAAAAGTTTATTTATTCGGCTTTTTTTTCTTTCATCCCCGCAGTTGCCGATTCCCGAATTTCCCGTTTGTGTGAATCGCCTGCGTGTGATGAACTTCAACAAAGTGGACGTAAACACGTGTCTGTCTCTGGTGACCCCGTTGCAGGGCACGCCCTCGGATGATCTCAAACTCGAGGTCATGAATGAGCTCTTTGTGGTAGGCACTTTCTATGCCAAATTGATTTGCTGTTAATCCCCATCTAGAGTAGAATCGCCTCGTAAATAGTCAATACTTTTTTTCCGATGCGACTTCGATAACACCACCGATTTACTTATTACGATTATCTGTGGTTATTTTTGTCCGCACCCTGGTATGCCTCTTCCTCCTCTCCTTCCATTGGTTCGCGTCGCCGCTTTTAAACACCCACACGCACCACGAAACGTGGTGGTTTTGTTTACACCACTGGGTGGTGAATAAACTAGCCTTTTTTGACTTCCGCCTTGTTAAGTAATTAAGTTATGCGCTGACATTTTCTTTTACTTGCTACTGCATGGCGGTTAATGCTTATCTCGTTTTCTTAATGTTGATAAAATCATTTTATAGTCTTGTCTGAAGGAGCCCGCCTTCGCTTATCTCCGTACAAGCGAAACACTCGGTTACTCTGTAGGGCTCTACTCTTGGCTTCTGCTTAGCACCACTCGGCAGTGTGGCGCCACACTCACTGTCTGCAGCCAGGCCAATAAATTCGACTCCAGCCTCGTAGCTGGCCGCATGTACGCCTTCTGGTACCGCATAATACCGCAAATCATCTTCAGGCTGAAGCCTGAGGCTTTTCAAACTGCGGTGAGTCTATTTATTTGAGCCCAATTTTGGAAGGGATCCTTTTCCATCACACGTCAGTGCGCTCCCTTCGTTAAGGTGGACTCAATGATCGCTTCAAACCGCTTGGAAGACGCCACAATGGAGGTTGAGATGCGCAGAAACAGGGCCGAAATACTTTCGAGCGTGCCGATATTTGATCGACGCCAAAGAGCGGTAATTGGGGTGGGGTTTGCTGCAAAAATCCACTTTTCTCCGGTTCTTGTCATTCCCTTTTTTTTGCAGATTTCCATTCTTCAGAACCTTACGTTGAAAGACTTCCAGGACTTTTATCGATCGACCTACTTTAACAATGATAGGCAACCCGTTCTTATGCTTCAGGTAAGAAGTAGCAAGTTTTTTTCAAATCAATACATTCTTTAATAACTGCTAATTCCTATTCTGTAAGCTTTCATAATAATTGTTGAATCCTGACGCCAATTTCACCCACTTCTATTGTTAAATCTTTTTTCAACCGTAATGAAACGTATAACAATGAATATTACTGTACTTTGGATATGTAAAGATGCGCAGTCGATCGAATTCAGTCAATAGAATCGATGACGGAAAGATAAT